TCACAGTGTCTCCTGATGTGGCAACAAGCCACATCCCCTCTCGTGGCCGCCTTCCATGGCAAGGCCGCCATCTCTGGAGTAGAACCCAGGTCCCGGTACAACCCCAAGCCTTTGCCTCCCCTGAGGACCATTTGGAATGGGCACTGAGAAGTCTAGGAAATCTGCAGTTGCCTCATTTCTGGTTACTTTATGACCCGCAAGTGAATTGAGCTATGTTTCCCAGCCTGGAGGCTGGAAGCTGCTTGGGGGTTGGAGCAGGCAGGCTGGCAGATAGACCCTCCACAAATGCAGGCAGGATTGCTCCACAGCCCCTACTTCTGATTCTGTTTCACGCTGCAAAGGGCACATTTAAAAAGCTGTGAAGGCATTGAGCTGGAGGGGGCGTAACTACGGCCTCTTGGGTACCAAACAGCTGTGCATCCCTCTAGATGTCCTTCATGAGCTCCTCTGAGCTTCAGTTTTCCTTTCTGTTTGTAAATGTACAGGCATGGACTAAGTGACCCCTTCTGTCTTCAGTGTCTCTTCTTTAAATGTTGCTTCCCAGGAGGAGGGTCGAGAGCCCAGACAGAAGAATCCTTTGCTCTTGGGACACACAGAACAGAGAAAGGAGGAACAGTTCAAACTGCCTGGTGAAGAACAGTTATCTCTCACAAGCTCCTCTCCTTTACCTCCACCCCCATTGATTGTGACAGGTCATATATTTGATTACGCAAAGTAAATTGAGAAATCATATCTCTGCAGTCCCATCTGGGATTATTTATTTCTCTGGATCAGCAGCCGGCCATAGTCCTGAGACTACAATGTGAGGAGTAGCTTTCCATGAGAGGAGGTGGAGTCCGGGTCATCTCTGGAGAAACCAGAGACGTTAATAGCTACAGCAGAGACTTTCTGCCAACATGCCCCGAAGTTTCCACACAGCAGCCGCCATCTAGCTCCTGCAGGCTGGGCCGGTTGATTTAGGATGGCGATATCAGCTGGTGAGGGAGGCGGAGAGTTCCTACTCTCCCCCTTCTTCACCCGGAGGTGTGAGGCTGTGAGGCTGGGCAGTGTCAGGAGGAAACTGGGCCTTGAATTCCTCCCAGGTTTAGAGGTCTCTACAGGTCATGTTGCTGAGACAAAATGATAATGATAAAAATCCTGCAGACAATTCTCAAGTACTCAGTGCTTAGTGTGGGTGGGTCACCATGTCAGGAGCCACCTCCGTTAAGGTTTAAGTCTATGTAGTAAGGTGAGGCAAAGAAGGGTCAGGAGCCTTCTCAGTACCCCCCATACCCCGGTGACTGATGACACTCGGAGATTGTGGGCCAGCAAGCCGAATTGTCCCTGAGTCCCAGAGGGAAACCCTCCCAGGACACACTCAACTCCAGGGGGACAGCAACAGGGCCAGGCTGGAGAAGCCTGTGAGCCCCTGTGGCCATGCAGGAAGGAGGCAGCTGAGCTGTGTAGTCCCAGGTCAACCAGGTGGGACTCACTCAAGGAACCGGATGAGTGAAACATGCTTCTGTCCTTTATTTTTATTTTTCAGGACGAGTCAAGAGAAAAAAAAAGCTACCATGCCAAGGAAAGAAAAAGAAATCTGCTCCTTCCTGGTTTCTTGTTCAGTTTTTCTGGATCCATTTGCTAAAGGGGGGCTGCTCCCTGGGTGGGTCTGAACAGTGCAGGGATGGGAAAGGGTGCAGGGTGGGAGTGATGTGGGGGAACAGGATGGGCGAGCATGGGGAGAGAGCCCAGCCTCTGCTCCAGTGCCGGCTGGGAGAGAAGCAAACCCCACTGGCTGCCCCCACTCAGCTCTGCAGGCTGAGTCAGGCCCACCACTTTATAATTTACAAGAGGGGGCGTCTAACTGTACTTTGTAATTTGGTGTCAGTTTACAAGCCAAAAGGACTTCTGTTTCCTTCCACAACAGGTCCTCAGTCAGGGCCCGACCCCTCTTAAGAGAGAGACCTTGAGAGGGGAGCTGGATTTCTTCTGCCCTTTTCTTTTAGTTAAGCCTGAGGCTCCAGCAGCCAGACCTTTCCTCAGCCTGCAAGCTCTACCACGGCATGAGGAAAGGAATGTCTGTGCCCCTCCTTCAATGAGAAGATGCTCTATCCTCATTATTACCCAGTGTTCGTAAGAAGAAGGCCAGGAAAAGCTACTCTTCCCATTGTGGAGGTGAAGCAACTGAGGCACATAAAAATAACTGATCAGCTCAGGTAGCCAGTAGAACAAACAGTTGGAGCCCAGGCTCTGACCCCTATTTCTTCTGAACATTTAGTTTACTAAACAGTTTATGTAGCTATGGATTCTTTTTAGATCTGATCAAAGGCCATTTTCCCCCAGGAAAAAATGCGCAGAATTTCACATTCAGTATGGGAAATCACACCAGGATAAACCTCCACTGGCCTCTCCCGGGCTGTCGGGCTTCCCAGTGCATGGTGGAGGCACGGGTCTCTGGAGGCTTTGGGGCTGGAGGCTGGAGGGTAATTTAGTGAGATCAGGACTACAGCTGCAGGTCCCCAAGTGCGCAGGCGGGAGGGGCGAGGGAAGGACCGATACCTGGAGACGCAGAGTGTTTGGAGGGAGCAATGCGGCTGTGCTGAGTTTTCACTGGGGGTGGAGAGTGCACTGGAGAGGAACCGACCAGAGCCCATCCTGCTGCAGCTGTAGCACCTAGCCGCGCCTGGAACCCCTGGGGCACAGCTTTCCCCAGACGCTGGGCCGGGAACAGCCAGTCCTCCCTGCCAGGGCATTCCCAGGCCACCCCGTCCCATCTCCCGTCTTGGCTTCTACTGGCACAGTTTACTGTACACAAATTGTATTTGTTCTTTTTCTTGTACAGTTTTTAAAGCTCAAACTAGTTCCAGGGCTGCGCAGCTCTCAGAGTTTACTTTCAGTTTGGGAAACTGCTGCTGACACCCTTTAAAAACTTGATTCCCTTTCATGTCCCCCCTTTCTTTCTCTCTAGTTTCCCAAAGGTAGCCAACCTAGAGTTTTGATTTTGTTAATATTTAAAATTACAGGCGAAGGACTAATGATTTCATCCCCTTACTCCCATGCCAGGCTGTCAGAGCAACAAATAAAAGCCCAGCCTGTCAACTCCACGCACACATGCAGCGGAGCTGGTGGGGGTTTAGGGTTTGCTTCTAGTCTCCGACAGAAGCCCTGGGTTGCCTGTTTGTAAAGGTAGAAAGGTAGCTAACAGGGGAGATGCCAAAAACCCAGAAATGATTTAATAAAAAAGTACCGGGTCCTGTTACAAGAGGGCCTCTTTCTGAGTCCAGGTACTAAAGTCATCGGGGCCGAATGAAAGAAAGCAAAATAAAATTTAAGAATGAATTAGAAAGAAAATCTGTACTGGTATGGAGGGGCTCGGCAAAGTTTCTGAGACTTCAGGGCAGAGGCAGATCTTGCCAGTCCAGGGCTCTCCCTGACTTTTCTGGGTTCCTCTTTGAACCTCAGTTTGGTCATAGAAAATCTGGGGATAAAAACACATTTCTTCTGTGGTCAAGAATTCAAATGCTCCAACGGAAGTAAAAACAATGCACTCTGAAGAGGTAAGAAGTTGCAGGAAACCTAAACCTTTTTGTTCTTAGATGGTACTGAGCAAGAGGCAGCTAAGGTCCATGAAACCCTCTGCCCCTTCTTGGAGCCAGGCACCCACGGCTCTCCTCTCAGGTCCACCCTCTGAGGTCCCTGGAGCGACTAGAAAGTCTACAGGCGGGCGTCTGTAGGAATCTGACAGATGATTCATGTGCTTCCTTCCCTGGGCATCGGCGGCGGCTCTGGGAGCCGCACCTGGGAATCCAGTGCCAGCCACTAGAAAGAACTTTCCACAGCTCCAAGGGCTGAGGTACCCGCACTTAGGGCAGGAACCTTTGTTTCACAATAATTCCATCACTGCCTTTGTTCCCTCTTCTCTGAGCCAGGTTAACATCTAACATCTTGACAGAATCAGAGAAAAGTAATCTTTGAGTCCATCCAGCGATTTCCTTCCTTCAGCACATATTTATTGCAGACCTACTATGTGCTGAATACAAAGGCAGCCAATATCCTAATCTCTGTTTCCCAAACCGATCCGATTGAATAGGGCTTGATTGTTTACAAGTGCAACTAGAAAAGCATCTGTATGGGTTTAAATTTAGCCCAAGAAATAGATACAGAGCTGATTTAGGGAACTAATACCTTCTTTTCGATTTGCTGGAAATTTAATTTTGTTTTAAAAGTTTTTGCGAGGCGTTTTTGAGGGAGATGGAAGAAAATGCTGTTTAAATGCATTCATGCGTACTAAAAAGAGTCATCTTTGTGATGAAGAGCTTTGCATGGTTAGAGTGAATATACTGAACCTAAATTTCTTAATGGGGTGTACTTCCGTCCTCTCAAAATTAACTGTAACAGCTATCGACTTAGCAGAAAAACCTAAGTGACTTGCAGCTGACTTGGCCAGCTGCCTCACAAGCTCTTGGAAAGTTAATAAGAAACTCTTCTTGCCCTTTGAGGATGAGCTGCGCTGTCCGTAAAGATGTCTACAGGTCATTTTTATGCTAAGCGCTGGGGTGTAAAGTAACCAGTGGTTTGTTCTAACAGGAGAAAGAAGGCAATGTCTGCGCGCCCACTGCAGTGGCCTCATCTCTGCATTCAACTTTGGGGCCACTGCTGAGTCGCAGAAACACTGGAGATGCCGATAATAGAGGCCAACGCTAGCCTTTCTGATCTTTGCCACATTTATTACCTTCTCTTGTGGGCAACGCGATTCACAAGCGTGTCTCGGCGTGTTTCCTGATCTGCAAGATAAAGCCTCCTTCCCCCCACCGCAGGCCCGGTCCTGCTTTAGGTTTAGCTTCTGCGCGGGAGACCCGGCTGCAGCGAAGGCTCAGAAGGCGGACTCACTCGAGCGCGACAGGGTGGAGGTGGCAGGGAGGAGGACGCCAGTCGCTGCGCCTCGCCCAATCAGCGTGCATACCGTCTGACAACCAGCCAATCAGAGGGCGCGGAGCTCGGGGCCCCCAGTGGTTAATACTAGGAAGGGGAGCGGCAACCCGAGACTAGAGCGAGTGGCGCAGCGCAGCAGAACGCAGCTGCGTGAATCTGTCCCGGGAGCCCGTGGTCTGAGCCAGCCTAGAGATCTGAGACGGGCGGGGGCTGCTTGACCTTTCCCGCCTGGTTTGGGTCAGAAGTAGCCAAAAGCGGCTTCTGTGAAGTGCGAAGCCCCAAGCTGCAGGGCACCGATCGGAACTTTGCAGAGTTCGGGATGAGCGGAGCGAGGTTGTTGAGTACTTGACTCCTCTCCTCTCCCTCCCCTCCCCTCCACCCGCTCCATCCAGAGCTTTGGGCCTCCAGCTGTCAGATCTGATTTCGTGCCAAAGGGTGACGATCCCGATCCCGATTTCCGTGTGCATGCACGCTTTGCAGCCTAAGAGCCAGACCCTAAAGCTGGATGTCTTTTGACTCGGCTGCTAGCCCGGGTGTCAAAATTTCGGTGAGTGCTGTGATGCCGCTGGGGTAGGGCCGGGGGAGGCAGAGGTCGGGAACCATTTTTCTTTGCTTTTCCTGCTTTATTTGGATGCCTGACCTAGGGGTGTAAACCAAGCCCTGCGCTCGGCCCCAGCAGTCAGGTCTAAGTGCCGTGCTGCTGAGGCGCGGACATCGGCTGCTTCCTGCCTGTCTCTCTGTCTGGTTCTCTAAGGACAGCAGAACGTTTTCTGCGCGTTTATCTGCGGGGTGGGGAGTGATGAGAAGACCTCTGCAAGGCCACGGTCCTTAGGGTGGTGGTGGCCGGGAGAGAGGCCTTGGGCAAGCACGGAATGGTCCGAGGGTCCCTTGTCACTAGAGAAAAACATCCCTCCACCGACATTTGTACATTTATGATGGCGGTGGGCAGTGGGTAAGGGGACGCCTGACAAGTGGCCTAGGCCGGCCTAGCTGGGCACAATGCTTTGGGAAGTCAGCGAGTTACTTAAGAGACTTGTCCGGAAAGCCCTTCTAAAGCCGGAGAGGGCTGCGGTCGGAGGTCAGGTGCTCACAGAGCCCTGGGAATTAGTGAAGTCCTTGTAGGGTGTGGGTTCCTGGGTCCCCGGGTCCCTGAGAGAGGCAAGGAAGACGCCTGTGGGGTGGGGGATGCGCAGAGAACGGGGCTCAGGGAGCGAGGGTGGCGCCCGGGGCGCAGGCACGGTCCTGACGGGCGCGCGGCTCGGGGGCTCTTCGTGTCTCCGCAGGGCGCGGGCAGCGGAGCCGAGGCGGCCCCGCGCGTCATGGCGGAGCGGCTGGCCGGCCCGGGCGCCGGGGACTGGGAGATCGACGTGGAGAGCCTGGAGCTGGAGGAGGACGGCTGCGGGCCGCCGCTGCTGGCCGACGGGGACGGCGAGGAAGACGAGGACGACGAGGAGGAGGACGAGGACG